GTGTCCGTTGAACAGTTCTGGCAGGCTGCTAGCCCGTTTCCTAGATATGATCTGTGGTTTTGGGCATATCTTGCCTCGACATCCCGTCCTTTGAGCGTCATTAGCCAAGTAGCTATGCGTGCATATCTACTGATGTCATTACTATTATAAGAGCAGTTATAACTGAATTAATCCCAACGTAGCATTTAAGGTAAGAAGGCCTAGGCTTGCCAGGGTTTAATTGTTAATAACAACACAACAGTAGCAGTTTAAACTGATATAGTAACACGCTGAAGGGAAAAGGTCTATTACGTTTGCAGCTGTCAATGTTCTTTTCAAAGGGAGGTGAGGGAGAGAGATAGGATGAAATCTGTATGGAATAGTGAAAGATAAAGTTCAGATGTAACAGAGCAAGTCACTTCAACATGGCAACGTACTTTGCAGCACGCTAGCATGCAGGTTAGACAGTTTATGGTTACAAACAGCTTACATTCTTCATGTGAAATGGCGGCGCATTTCACACTGAACAACCAAAAAGCACTCTTTAGATTCTTATCTTTATAGCGCTGAACAATCTCCACTCGTTTAGAGTGAGGTAAATTAATCTACAGATTTACTGCAATTAATACAATAACGTTTATTGTAGATCTGGCAGATCTCTTTGACAGGCAAAAACACCCGTGGATTTAACCACAATTTCACTTGATCAAGATTTCACAATTCTCCCATAACGAAAAATAACGTCTCGGACACTCTCTCTGAGTACCACGTTTTTAAGTTCACTAGTTTTTTTAGTGAATTAAATGGCAAGAGCATTAAGATGCAAACAATGTAGACAGAGTAAGGGGAGTTGGAGGGAGAGCCAGAGGACGAGGCAGAGTTCGAGTTAGAGGACGAGGAGCTCAAAGAGGAGCACGAGGAGGAAGAGGACGAGTCGGACAGGGAAGAGGAGGAGGACAAAGACCAGGAACAAGAAGAGTGGTCTCTGATGAGATTAGGGCTACTATCATTGATCATGTGATCAACCATAGTCTAACAATGAGAGAGGCTGGACAGAGAGTCCAGCCTAATTTGAGTCGATTTACAGTGGTGGGTATAATTCGAACCTTTAGAAATGATAACAGGTATGTAACAATTTACTGTAATGTACATGTTCTAATGTACACATAATAGCTATTTCAGCATAACATACGGTATACTATAATACATATATTTTAGCACCCATGCATCCATTTACTGTAGTGCACTGCACAATTGGTCACAGTCTGGTGGGTTATCATACTGTACAACAGTACAGCTCAATGTAAGAAGACATTCTGACTAGATTGTATAAAATAGTATGTATTATGTTACAGTTTATGGCACACACTAGCACTATTCTTGAATCTTCTACAGAGTAGCAAGGCGAAGGTTTCATTGTGGGCGAGGTCACAAGTTCACTGAAGAGCAAGAGATGGCTATCGTGAATTTGGTTTTGGCCAATAATGCTATAAGAATTCGTGAAATATGCAATCATATCCTTAATGATGCCACAATTTTTGCTAACATAAATGCTGTGAGCCCCTCAACAATACATCGTGTCCTCCAGAGAAATCAACTGAGAATGAAACCGCTGTATAAGGTCCCATTTGAAAGGAACTGTGACAGAGTCAAGAACCTTCGACATGACTTTGTGGAGGTATGCATACAACACTTTCTCCAATATATCAGACTTGCACCTACCAAGTCAAGCTATTGGGTTGTGCATATACTGATCTACATGTTATTTTGTCTTTTACAGAGAATTTTGGAGATGGATGCCCATGCTATCATCCATGAATACATTTATGTGGATGAGGTGGGCTTCAATCTCAGCAAAACCAGAAGAAGGGGGAGAAATGTCATTGGACAAAGGGCCATTGTCAATGTCCCTGGACAACGTGGCGGAAACATTACAATGTGTGCTGCAATTACACAGAATGGTGTCCTGCACCATCATGCCAGACTTGGCCCCTATAACACTGATCACATCATACGTTTTCTGGATGCTGTTCATGATATGCTTGTTCAAGGTCTGCAGAATGAAGACCAGGCAAGATTTGTCATCATCTGGGATAATGTCAGCTTTCATCGCGCCCATCAGGTCCAAAACTGGTTTGTTACTCATCCCCATTTTTCTGTTGTCTACCTGTCTCCATATTCACCATTTCTAAACCCTATAGAGGAATTTTTCTCCACATGGCGCTGGAAAGTGTATGATCGTCATCCCTATGTCAACATGACACTTCTCCAGGCAATGGAGGAGGCATGTGGAGACATTGATGCCGCCTCCATCCAAGGTTGGATACGCCATACAAGGAGGTTCTTTCCACGGTGTCTGGCAAGAGAGAACATAGCATGTGACGTGGATGAAGTATTGTGGCCGGACCCAGCCCGGAGGAGGGATTGAGCCTAGATGCACCCAACCATCACACACACACAATTCCATCTTTTTTCAAAATTATGTTTGGATTCTATCCAACTACACATTGTTGTATTTCTTTTCTCTTCTCTAGTACTGTATTCACAACCACAAATGCTTACAGTAAAAAAAAAATCGTTTGGTTTCAATCTTGCTTTCGTGTTTACTGTGAATTTTTCAAAATCTCTCTGACAATTACTTTCGATCTTGTACAGAAATGGTTTTGAATTACTGTGTGTATATGACATATCCAAAAATATATTATTATGGCAAAAGTGTTTACAACGTAAGACAGATGTTTGCTTTTGAGATGTGTTTGTGATCTTTTGAATGCAGTGTGTCATTTTGCAAGAGATGTGAGGCATTTTGTGTGTGCAATTCTTGGATTTGTGTAAGTTTTGAAAAAAAGAGGTAAAGTTTAGAAAATGTAAGTAGTTGAAAAAAAAATTGTAATATTATAGTCTGTAATATTATAAAAAAAAAAAAAAATTCTAAATGCTTGTATTTTATTGTACCTTCACCCTTCCCCTGATTCAGTTTTAGTAACAGTGTTTTGAATTGATCTCACTGGTGTTTTCTAGACATTGGAGTAGTCTGTGTATTTGTTAGGTTTGTGCACCATCTGCGGCCAAAGTTTAATTTTGACAGAAGAGAATATGTTTTTGACTAGAATATTTGGTTTTGACCTGGAAGTTTGAGGTTTGTGCAAGTTTGTGTATAGTTTTCAGATTGTGTTTATAGTTGTGAGAAAATGGTGAATTGTTTCATGAATTGTGTGTTAGCAATTGAGAAAAACTGTAATAACTAACTAAAAATGTATTTAATGGTGCCGTGATGCCAAATAAACCACATGCAGTGTGAAGAGAAGCTCATATAATTGATTTTCAGATCTTGTTTTGTTAGTGCTTCTGTTGCTCATATTTGGTTTGTGTGTGTGTGTGTGTGTGTGTGTGTGTGTGTGGTTTTGTTTTTTATGTAAATCTCTATTCCTATTACAGTTTTTTTTTTCTCAGCTGCGACTCTGAAATTCATTATGAAAGCCAAATGTCACAAACATAAAGCACATTTTCTAAAATATTTCTCAGAACTATTAATGCTATTCTTGTGTTTCACAACTCTATTCAGCATTTGACACCATGTGTTCCTGTAGTGTTCACAAACCATCAATGTCACCAAAGCCGGCGGCTTTCACCATGTGAACACTAGCATTTTCACACTCCATTCAGTTTTCTTTTTAACTGCACACTAACTGTAATAATTTACGTAGATTACAGTAGCATTTTGTTCCAAAGTGCAAAATACTTACATGTAAAACCTTATTCACTGCAATAAGAGGTCATGGTTCATTTGCTTTTACTGTGACACTGCAAGAATGTTTTAGCAAAGCATCAGCTCCAGAAAATGTTAAAAGGCACTGTTTCTTTATTTAAAAAAAATGAAACATGAACATGGCAATAGGGTTTGAAAATTAGTGAGGTCTAGGCTGGGGTTAAGAATTGTGCTGTAATAACCCCTACAAATGCAACTCATTATATACACTAAACACTTTACAGTTTTTGTCGATTGCTAACACACAATTCATGAAACAATTCACTATTTTATCACAACTTTTTACTTTCAATACACTACTGTAAAGTGATTCTACATTAGATGAAAAGCACTAGAAGAGAAAAGTTCAAAGTCCAAACAACTGAATATACAGTAAACACACATTGGAATACACTGTCAGTTACTGTACAGCAATAAATAAATAAATAAATTCAGCATCCTCTGCCAAGTTGCATTACAGTGTTGGTAATATCCTTATTTGTTATACTATAGCAGTTTCTTAGTCTTCTGACAAAAGATTTTCTCTGCCTCCCCTAGAAAGTCGACTCAAATACATGTAAGAAGTACTTGGCTACAAATCAATTCAACAGTTACGAGTTTGAGGGTGTTTGCTACAGTTTTTACAGTACAAAGAATAGTGAAAGTGCTCTCATCTGAAGTACTGCTACTGCAATTGTAATGTAAGTAGTGTAAAAACCCTGTAGATGAGCCTGCAGCATTCCATGCACAAGAACATGGTCAACTATAGTGCTTTATATTTCATCAGCAACACATGACCTTTCACCTCATCCCCTTCATTTTTCTTTTATCCTCCTATTCCTCTTTGTTCCCCATGCACTACCAGGATTCATCTTCCAAAACACATAATGAGCTGTGCTCCTGTGCATAGCATCCTGGGATTCTGATCAGTTTTGCTACTGAATGTTCACACATGGATAAATGTGTGCTGTTTGAGTTCATTTTGTGATTCTTGAGGTAGTTATATTGTGTGTTTTGGTTTTCTAAATGAGAACATGGTTAAACCCGTGCAAAATTATGCCGTTCTTGTGTAGAGTTTTGCAGAAAACACTGAGCAAATTGGAACGTGTGCAAACAGGTGAAATGTGTTAAAAGTTTTGAGAAACGTGTCTTTGTTTCAAGAACTGTGTGAATGGTTTGGAAAATTGCAAAAGAGACAGACATGTAGATGTTTGTGAAAGATGTTTTCTCTTTTTTGGAGGGATGAACATTGTTGATATTATTCCATATGTATTGCATAAAAATGTGTTAATACTTTACTATAGGTTAGGGGTGGATACTTTTATCAGTAGTTTATTATTCATGTAGCAATACATGTTGCTGTTTTAGTGTTCATTAATAACCATTTTAGATGATAACTTTGTCTAGTGCTTATATAAATGTTTTAGCATGACTTTGTAAAAAAAAAAACTACTATACTATACGAAATAGCACAGATTTCATGGCTAGTGTTTGCATATTTAATTTAATTCTGTAACCTACTTGGTCTATTGTTACCATTGGGCTTGACTGGGCTGCAGCCCATGGGCCCCACCTTGTAGAGGGCCCCGCATTTACCTGTTTATGTTTGTTTGATTTGTTTAGTTATATGCCAGTCAGAAATTATTATTATGTAGCTGTATTGTGTAGCTGCTGTGCTTCTCGTCCAGTGTGCAACCCCCTTTAAAAGCTTCCAACTACGACCTTCGAGGCCATAATCAAAGAGCATAAACGCATTTATGATTATTTCACATAGAAGGACACGTATTGAGTCGCGTCTGCACCGATTATTTGTCATCACATGACTACTATAAACAGAGCACACATTTAGAAAGATGATAAATAAAATATGTTCACGCCTCACTTCTTTACAGAGGATGCTTCTATATTATATTAATGTTCCACGAAATTATGCGATCTGAAGTGTTTTGAGTGCTCTCTCCCGTCTTACTGCCATTACACATAATAAGGAATCAAAATGATTTTAACAAATAAAAACAGCCTTTTAATGAGTTTCTGTTTTTATAACATATGCCTAGGATATAGAAGTTAGACTATCACAAACAAGAGTCATGTTTTTCCAAATATCTGCACGATTGCAAATGTGCAATAAACAAGAAGTTACTGAGTAACTTTCAGACACAAAATTCAGTTTTGCTCTGTCAAAGAGAAAATAGAACAACAGCAGAACCGCTGTGTTTTGTTCCTCAGCGTAAGACGAACCATTAAATGATTCAATCAGTACTGTCATTTGCTAAGTTAAACAAATTAGCATTTTAAATGAATCGGTTGATTTAAGGATTCAGCTTACTCGACAGACTCATTTGCTACCACCTACTGGCAGTTGTAGTTAAATTTTGTAAAAAGTAGCTTATTATTTCATTCTTGCAATCATTTAATATAAAATGTTATATTTAAACTTAACACAATTTATGCAAAATATATCTATGGATTTTGTTGATAGTGAATTCATTTGATTGTTAACAGCCAACAAGTCTTTTTATTTGGTTTTAAATTATTGATTAAATTTAAGAATCTGACATAAGAGGACATAGATATGACAATACATTTTTATAATACTAATACATCTCTGGCTTTTTTGCTCATTGTTATTTTAGGGTTTATTGTATTATAATGACAATTTATTTTAATATTACATCTAAACTTTGACTAGGCTAGACATGTTGCATATTAATTGTACTATATATGAATCTCAAAGTATAGTTTAATGTTTGTGTATTTTATGTTACTCCATAATGATGTTCTAGTTGAGGGAATTTGTAGTGAATAGGTATAGGGCCCAAACATAACCTCAAGTCCTGCCCTGTGTACTAGTGTTAAATACTTTTTTTTTTTTTGCGTTTGCCTTATCGAACGTGGTATCCTGCCAGCAATAACCTGTCCATAGGCTTTTTATTTTATTTTATTACTGTCAGTTTAAGTGCCGGCAATGCAGTGTTGTTAGATATTGCTATGAAAATAAAATAAAATAATAAAATAATAAATAAAATAAAAAAAATAAAAAAATAAAAAATAAAAAATCAACATTAGTTCAAATCAGATAAGATAAAGATATAGCTAACCCTTAACTGCAACTTTCCACTTTATTAACTTTCTTAAGTGTCAAATAAAAAGTGAAAAAACAATACCAAAGATGTTTTTAATTAGTGGATCTGGCAACACGCGTTAACATTGACATTAGACATTGAATTTACATTGAATTTTGGTCACCCAACGTTGCAACCGAAATTTAACCAAATATCAATGTCTTATTACATTGTGTACCTGCTGGACACATCACAGAAGGCTAAATAGCATTGCTATACTGAGACTTATATTAGGACTGACCTGCTTTACGATAGGGGTGTGTGATAGGCTATGTAATGCTATGCTAATGACACACAGCTCTATTTTTAACATCAAGCAGTTGATCCCACAGTATCTACACAAATCTCTGACTGCCTGATGGACATTTCGGGATGAAAACCCATCATCTACAACGCTTCTCGTCTTTCCAGGCACTCCAACAATACAGCACAACTTCACCATCCAGCTAAAATCATCAATAATCATCCCAACCAGATCAGCCAGAAATCTTAAGTTAATCATTGATGACCAGCTGACCTTCAAAGACCACATTCAAAGCATCTACTACATGAATGTAAATGTACCATCTACGATAATATTGTAATTATTGGTTTAACAAAACGTGGGCTGACACTGTCGAGTATGTCACTCAGTTCAGAAAAATTTAACAAAAACATGGCTTTAGAGTCCACACATTCACCGACTAATGAAGCATGAAGGGGCAAATAATATCACCCTTAAATGGAAAAGTACATTTCTGTCACTACTGTGAACCAACTATCACATAAAATATGAGCCAGCAGTCCACGGCAGGCCTAAACCAGCCAAAGTACCAGAACAAAAATACATTTCGCAAAATATTGTCTAATTATTGTTCTCAACAAAATCCCAGAAAATGGAGATATAACTTTTTTTTTATCAATATCGCACACCCCTAATTATAACTATGATATAAACAACGTACATAACAGTCATTTTTTTAAATCCAATTAATTCCTGATGAACAAAATCAAGTTATTCCCTACATGTTTTCTCATTGAATATCCTGTTTCACTCAGAAGTCAAAAGGGTTGCTATGCTGGTTCATGATGACTTTAATGAAGTTCCAAACATAAGTTTGGGAGGAGTCTAATCATTCAGTCCTGTCAATTATCATTACAAGCCTATAAACGCAGCAGTTATTGCGCTGTCTCAGCGACAGTCCTTCCAGCATCCCTCCCCCTCCTCATCTCCTCTATTTCTTTTATCCTCCCTCTATGTAGTACCTCAATGGGGATGGGGTGGGGTTAAACTTATAGCTCAAGAAGCCGAGCCTCAGGTTTGAGCCTCTGTTGAGGACAGCAAGCCAAGTTGGTTTACCATTAACTATCAGGACAGGAAGGGCAGGCGAACTAATGAAACAACTGTGAGATGCCAAAAAGAGTCGCTCCCAAACGTGACTTTTACAGTAAGTAAGAATAGTCAGTCCAAACTTGCACAAGAGATACTGAGAGATTGAAGCTGAAGTTTTTTCACCATCACAACAGATTAAGATCAGATTGCAGTTTCTTGTTCTTTAACAGATGCAACTGTTAAATACACACAAACCAATCAAGCATTTACTTGAACAAGCATGTGTTTTTTTTCTCTCTCGGTTTATTGTTTTTATAAACTACCTACAATCATCTTTTAACTACATTTAATCTAATTTGACTAGAAAAGACAAAACAAAAATCATGTCTTTTATCAGTGAGGAAAGATTGTAGAGTAAAAGATAAACAGGAGGAGCGAGACAGATTTAGTTTAA